AAAATTGGAACGATACAGAGAAAGAAGATAAAATGGCCCCTGCGCAAGGATGACACCCATAAATCGAGAACTGGTCCAAATTAAAAAAAAAAAAAAAAAAAAAAAAAAAAAAAAAAAAAAAAAAAAAAAAAAAAAACCCAAAAAAAAAAAAACCAAAAAAAAAAAAAAAAAAAAAAAAAAACACTTCCAGCTTCATCCGACCCGATCTGGACCTCCACGTTGGAGAGCAGAAGATCGGATACCGGATCGGCCTCTTACAGATATAGGGTTCAGCCTCTACTGATTGATGAGTCAGTCGGTGAAACTCCGACGAAACAGTCTGTCACAGCCCCTCCCTGTTTTGTTGTCCTCTTCTCCCTTTCTCCCTCTCTGCCTACTCCCCGGTAAACCGTAGGCAGAGAGGGAGAAGAGGAGAAGAGGACAACAAACGAGGGAGGGGGTGTGACAGACTGTTTCGTCGGAGTTTCACCGACTGACTCATCAATCAGTAGAGGCTGAACCCTCAACAGTCTGCAGAATCCGCTAACTGATTACATACACTGTAAGTGATAATCTACCTTAAACCCGATTGTGGTTAAGCATCAACGACGGGGCGACAACTGATACCCTGAGGTGGTCGGGACCACCAACCACTGCCCTCAAGGTACCTGTGACGAACATCAAAGTAGACTATCACTCACCCACACCAGATGGGAAACTCTACAGACTCTGTATAATACATATACTGTACAATAAATATATGATATTTTATATATATCGTCACACCGGGTATATATTATCACAAGATATCAGAGCGCAAAAGCGAAGAAAACCAAGAATAAATGAATTCATTTTTCTATATTCTTTCCTTACAAGACTCCCCCTGTTCAGAAAGAACCTCTTGCGTACAAGGCCGCCCACGTGGTGGATGTAGGTTGAGCGGCGGCTGCCCCCACCCCCGTGTGTCATATCGACCCACTTGCACACAGCCAAAGGGCAAAGAGGCAAAGAAAAGAGGAAGGGAACAGCAGCCAAATACAACAAAACAAAACAGGGGGCAACAAGCAATAATACCAAAAACGGATCCTAGATGACAAGTCCCACATGCAAGCACCGCCCCTCCTTCACAGGCCAAACGACAGGACAAGACCACCCAGGACAAAACTCTTGTCTGCAATAAAAAAGATAAATCCCAGATATATCGTCACAAACAGAACTGCCCGGTAAACCGTAGGCAGAGAGAGAGAAGAGGACAACAACCGAGGGGCTGTGAAAAACTGTTTCGTCGGAGTTTCACCGACTCATCAGGAGGCTGAACCCTCAACAGTCTGCAGAATCCACTCACTTGTCACATGAATATCAGAGCGCAAAAGCGAAAAAAAAAAAAAAAAAAGAATTCGTTTTTTTTTATCTTCTTCCTTACAACTCCCCCTGTTCGGATAAAACCCCGGAATCGAAGAAAGATATCAAATAAGAACATCCGGGCATATATCGTCACAGACATATATATATATCGTCGATGTAAGATTAGAACACCGCTACATTTCGTCCTCCCTCCCCTACTCCACCTTCCTTCCTCGGAACCACCACCAAAGTGAATATCAGATCCTATTAACCACAAGCGGAATCACAGATGCTATTAAAATATATAACCTTTACTTACTTACTGTATTCCTTTAGTGACTTAGATTAATTAATAATTTCTATATCCTGCTCTCACGAAACTTTCTTTCGGCCGGTTTGGCGCGCTTTGTTTTCCTTTCCCATGAAACGAAGAAGACTACAAGACAAAGGAAGAAGCAGAGAACAGCCTAACGTCACCCATGACCACAACAAGGACGATGACCACGATGACGTGGCAGATGACGTGGCAGATGACGTGGCAGATGACGTGGCAGATGATAACGATCACCCCGATCCCGACATGTCGGAGATGATGACCAAGGAGATTGACCAGGATGAAGCCCAAGCCGACGATGATGATCTGACGTGGCAGATGGCATGGCTGATGCCGACGAGGGATACGGATTATGATGGTCTGACGTGGCAGATGACATGGATATCACCGACGACGATACCGATGTTGATGAACATACAGTGATTCTAACGACAACAGGGAGGTCAGTTCGGGGGATAGCAGCTGATACCGATCACGAAGGAAGGAAGGAAGGAAGGAAGGAAGGAAGGAAGGAAGGAAGGAGGGAAGAGGTCCTCCCCCCTCAACCCGTCCCGACCGCTCACGACGATGGCTCTCCGCCGCGTTTTAATGATGACGTCATCCACTTATCCGATCCCCCCGGAATTCCAGGCCCTTGATGCACGAACGAACGATACACGCTTCGCTCGCTTCGGCGGAGGATTCATCCGTCGCCAAGTTTCCTTCCCATCCTTCCATTTTACTACTATTTCTTTGATGTATTAATCCCGCGCCTTGTTCCGTACATTACCGGGATTAACGGCCAGGTACACCGAATTGTTGGAACTTGTCCTGACAAGTGGTGGGCTCTTGTCCCCCCCCTCCCCCCGACAAGTGCCGCAGCAACAGGAACGAAAAAGAGTGAAGAGGACCATAAGGGCCTGTTCAAAAAAAAAAAAAAAAA